CTTTTATAGATAATTTCATTATCTTGTAACCATTTAATTGCTTCTGATTCTGATTCTAAGATTCCTTGTATTTCTCGCCTTGTCAGGATATCTCCGCGTATCATGCTTTTTGTTTTTCTGATTTTCCTTATATAAGTAGACGTTTTCCTACTGGGTGTTGGTCTTTAATTTGAATGAATTATTTTGAAACACTAAAATTCCAAATCATTGTTCTTATACTTTTTCTAATACTTTTCTGCGCCTTTCAATTATATACTATCATTTCCCTTATTTTTCTATTTTTAGAATCATGTCTGACCCTATTGATCAACTTTTTGATTCTCATATTATTCATAATCAATCTTATGATCTCTTGATTACTATGTTTCTTCGCAGCATTTTTCTTGATATTCACAAGTTGTATTTGGTTTTTCTTAGTACTCTTTCTTCTGATAAGGTTCGTCCTTACCCTTCTGATTTTTTTCTTTACTTTTTTTGTGGTGATTATGACCCTCTCTCTTTTCTTTGTTTTGGTCGTTCTCAGGATACTTATACTTTTCTTGAGAACTGTTCTTCTTCTCTTGAAGATTTTATCTTCTTTCTTTATGAAAGAGATAATAAGAAGGCTTTTTCTCTGGTTTATAAGTGCTTTCATGCTCGTTACAGTACTTTTAATAATGTTACTCCCTTCCGATGAGATAAAGACTTTTCGACCCTGACTATAAGTTTAGTCGAACTATTAATCGGACTATCCGTGTTGCTTCTGTCCTTAATTGGGATGGTTATGGAAAGGATAATATTACTCTTGACTACCTTAATTCTGGTCTCAATAAACTTTCTTTTAATGATACTTCTTCAGGTAGGGGTTCTTCATGTTTGATTTTGTCATCTTTTTTCTCCCGAAAAAGATGCAAGATCAAACATGGTGATCAAGTATTGGTTTTTCACGCACTGCCGGACCAGAGTAGTTAGATTTTTCTAACTACCGCTGGTCGGTAGTGCATGGTGATCGAATATTTCTAACTCTACTATTTTTGTTGTTTTTATTTAGATAATTGTAATTCTGAAGATAATCCTTTCGAGTTTTTTAATCCAGAGTATGATTCTTTTAATGTTTATCATTCTCAAGAGGAAAGGGAAGATCGTATTAATACTCAATTTTATTCTGATAGTTCTTCTGATGATTATGGTTTTAATGATATTGATTGTTGTTATAGTGATTATGATGATTATTATTTTGATGATTGATTATATCACTATTATTTTTATTGTTTTAATAAAGAGTCTTTTTTCATCTGTTTTTGGTTTTCTTTTTCTTTTTTAAGTTG